AACAGATACGAGCAAGTTTTTACGATCGCCAACAAAGTTGACATCTTTTTTACAGCCCGTTGCGTAACTTTATTGTCACATGTAACATTTATACAATCTGTTGCGAATAATATAATTATCGCTTGGTTGTTTTCGCAATGTTTTTAGATTTTTCGCAATTTTTCTACTTTTTGAAAACGAGCGGAACACGTATTTTTGTTTATCGGACAGAAAACCTTAGAGAGAATAACAACTCAAAAGCGCGAAGAAGTGGAAGAAGAAGAAGAATAGTTTACAAGCAAAATTATTTGCACGTGTGCGCAACAGAAATGAACTGTGTGTTTGCTGTTTCAACGACACTTATTTTATATATATTATATGTATGTATATTGATCAAAACCCTGCCAGGTGTGTTCAAAAGTCGGAGAAAAGTACGCGCTTATTATTTTTTATATTTAACATTTACATTCACAAACGGTGTGTATATCTTAACATTCTTCGAGAGAAGACAATACTTTTTTTTTTTTTTCTGGCACGATAAAGTTGCCCGAAAAAACACGACGCTATTTAAAACCTGAGAACACACACGACGTTTATTTTTATTTTTTTTTTTTAATGTGATAACATTTAGGGGTTTTTTTTGTTTTTTTTTTTTATCTTTTCGTTCACCGTCCGTGATGATGTTTGACAAAAGCGCGCCATCACGAACGTTCGAAAACAACAAGTTCGAAAAGGAGAGAAAAAACTGAAAAAATCATCGTTCTCTGTCGCAAAAACGAAGCGATACGTACGCGCGCGAAAAGCGAAATGTCGTTGAAGCGACGACGATTTTTCGCCGCGAAATTCATTCATCCTTTGCGCATTTCTTTGTGCATTTGTGTGACAGCTCGGTGATTCGATTCTTTCCCGATCGGTCTCTGATTGTGCTCGAGGAAGCAATTCGGCAATTTTGCAAAAATACATTTTGTCCCAATTAGCCGCGTGTTCGCACATTCGCGAGTCGGAAAGCTCTCGTGAGGAAAAAAAAAAAAAGTAAAAAAATATCAAAGTTTATAATTTTATACACGTCGCGTGTTGACTCTTGAGAGCAACGTCGTCGTTTCGCCGCCGCGGAAGAGAAAAAACGCGAAGTACTCTCGTAGTCGCTCGCCATCTCGTCAATGAGTTTTTTTTTTGTTTTTTTTTTGTTTTTCGCTTTTCGTGCGTAAAAAGTCATCAAAGATCTCAACTCGGAGACACATCGTACAGCTACTATAATTTAATGTGAAGATATTATCGCTATCACACAATATAGCGCGAAGACAGTGATGAGATGTGATGATTTTGATTACACAGCGTTTCTCGTTTTTGTTTNTNTTTTTTTTTTTTTTTTTTTTTTTTTNATACAAATACGGGCAGTCTCCTGTCTGTCAGAGGATGTAACTTGAATTTCTCGAGTTTCTTTTTCTTCCTTCTTCTTTTCCTCGGATATACAAATCTGTTTGTGTTCTCCTCACTTTCGCCGGAGCACTGTCTTCGTCACAACCACACCTACATCGAGAAAAAAAATCGTGAAACAAAAATACAGGAAGTCGAGTGAAGATAATCGTCCCGTACAGTCGAACAGTTTTCAACCCTTTCCGGTCCAAGTTTGTTTCCCAATGGTCCGAATTAATTTCAATTAACGTCTATTCGACCGCAAAGGGTTAAAGACAACAAAGTATTTATAAAAAGTTTGAAAATAATATTCAAAAACATATTTTAAAAAGATTATTTAAGACATTAAACAATTAAAATATAATTTCTATTATTTCTTACAATCACAATTTCCGTAGGTATACGTTTGGTTATTGAAAGAGTTTGGCAAAACAATCGAAAAGCATCGAGGATTAATCGGGGACTTCGCTTACTTCTTCGCTATTGACTACTAGTCAGACTTCGCCGCTCGACTGCGGCCTCTCCTCCTGCGATCGGTTATTCTGCTCCTTGTTCCGCTCCTTCTCCCGTTCCCTCTCCCTCTCCGCTTTCCTCTCCCTCATCATTTCCATTCTGCGCGCTCTGTGCAGACTTCCGGACGGAAACGTCGAGTCCTCGACGGCCGCGGCCGCGGCTGCCGACGCACCTCGTTCAACGGCCGTCTGCTCAATAAATTACTCCAATTTATTTTCCAGGACGCTCTTTTCAGCGAGCCCGTAATAAAACAAAAAATAGAGACAGGCCGTGCCTAGAGAGTAGTTTTTGTTTTTTGTTTTTTTTTTTTACGCAAACAGTAATCGAAACGGAACGATTTAGATATATACTTTGAGGATGAAGCTGGCCGTCGAGCTCTTGGTGATGGGACTTTGGCCGTGACCGTGGCCGTGCGTGCTGAAGTAACCGCCCATTTTCGGCTTGATGTGTCTGTTGTGCATCTCCATGTGCACTATCTTCATGAACTCGATTCGCGCGGCCAGCTTTTGAATCTCTTCCTGATGCGCGTTCCAGAGAGATCGAAGCGAAAAGTTGAGAAACACATTTCTTACTCATTTAATTGTTTAAATAATAATAAAAAAAAATTTGAAAACTAAGAAACAAATATTGTAGATGGCGCTTTAGCAAACAAAATAAAAAGAAATTTAATTAGCGATTGGACGAAAGAAATTATTTCGCACATTATTGAATCAATTGTCGCAATCGCCTGATTGCGTTTTTACCTTGAGTTCTTCGTTCTCTTGATAAAGATCCGTCGTTTCCTCCGGTACCAGACCGATTCCGTTCAGGGAGAAGCTCGCGGTGACGCCGCGCGCTCTCGCTCGACTGTCCCACTGATCGCCCTGGCCTCGCAACACCCTGATCACCTGTGCAACACGCGCTCAACACGTTTACTCCCTGATCTCGTCGTCTCAACGTCGCGTGCATTTCGATAGTGCACTTACCTTAGGGCCGAACACGAGAAAGACGGTGACGGACGTAGAGAGCTGAGTTCGCAGAAAGCCCAGCAGATATTTGATATCCGGCCCGGCGCGAGGAAATATGAACAGGCTGCGCAACGTGTCGTTCGATATAATAAGTGTTTACGTGACGATAAAATTATAATTGTTGTTTTTGTTTCTCTCGCACGCGAAATTCGCGTGCGTAACAACAATTTGCGTGTGTTTGATTCATTTACGTACTGAATGCTTATCATGGTGATGTTGACCGCGGCTATGTTGTAAATGGCGTAGCTTATCAGACGGGCCTCGTTGAACAGACTCTCCGCGTTTCGCACGTTGTAGCACACCTTTATGCCCCAGGCGAGAAAAAATATTTCACCTGTCCGCGCACGTCGGAAAGAATGTATACACGATTTTATCATCAATTGTGTTCAAACGTCGTTAAGTTTCGCGTCGTCGAGTTAAGTTTCATTTATTTACCAATAGCCAGGCTGTGATCCCACCAATTGTAAGAGCACTGGTAGAACTTCAAGTTGAGATTGTCCGTAATCACCTCCGCGTAAGGCGGCGCGCTCACGGTCCACGTTCCCAAATAGATCAGCATCACCAGCAATATAGGCACCATCCATTGCAACAGCTGCTTGTCCGTCAGTTTGACCTTGTGGGCGCTCTTCACGCGATACGTGAGCGAAACCCTACGAATTAGGACGAGGAACCTTTCTGAAACTGCTGTTTCTCACTTTTCAGCGTTGTTTTTTTTTTTTTTTTTTTTTTGTTTTTTTTATTAACATCAAACCCGTCGACGCGTTTTAGAAACGCGATCTATTTGCGAGAAATGTTCCGAATAGTTTTTTAACGAGAAAAAAATACATTTGAAATATCAAAAAATTTGTGTAGTTAAAAAAGCTTCTTTTTTTAATTATTTAAATTATTATGGGAAATTAAAAATATGATAACTTTGATAAATATATTAAAGAAATGAAAAATAATCTTGTGTGTGCTGATGTTAAAAAAAAAAAAAAACAAACTGTCTTTTTCCCGACAATTGATGATCAACGCACTTTTTGTGCGTTCAGCGCAAACTTACCTCCAGGTCTTCATCAGCAGAGCCGTGTACGAGACGCAAAATCCCATGTGCCTCGTCCACTTCGTGGCGATGCACGAGTACATATCGAGAACCGGGAATATGGCGGCCATCTGCGCGACGAGAAAGATATCTCTCAGTTTCCTGATTCAAATCGCGAGCGAGGTCGTTTATCAAAAGAGGAGGAGGAAAACATAAAACACGCCCACTCACCTCGAGATACATCAAGGAGCAGCCCAGGAGCGTAATAGACAGAAATATCGGGGAGGCGACTTTGAATACCTTCAACTTGCGATGCTTGTACACGTACATTATCAGAACGATGGTGCCGAAGGCGCAGAAAATCGATACGGCCAGCAGTGTGATTCTTGAAGAGCAACGAACGAGTGAGAGACGAGTAATGACGTCGTAAAAAGACACTCGCTCTTCTCTCTCTCAAAAAAAAAAAAAAAATGAACAAAGGAAGGTCATAAACGACGCGACTATGTGTGTGTGTGTGTTAAAAAAATGTTTTATTGTTTTATCTTCAAACGAAGCGCAAACATTTCGATCGAGGGGGGATCTTTTCATCAGAGTGCTGAGAAGCGATTGAAATAAATGCTCGAAAAAATTAACAATTAAAAATAAAATTTCTGACACAAACTTTTTGTTACTCACGTTAGACCGCATCTCTCGGTCAAGAACGTAACGCATCACCAATCGCGTTTTCTACTGACCTTCTTTTGTTTTTTGTTTTTTTTCAAATTTGCAGCCTAAAACTACGGTTTTAAAATCGTTTTAGTTACCTGAACGGCCAATTGTACGTTGCCAGACATGGTTCGGGACCTTTGCATCTGGCGCATCCCGGCGCGCATCGCAAACAGCGATATTCCTTCTTGTAGGAATCACTTTTGTTCTCCCTCATTTCCTTCCACGCGGCTGCAAACAAGCACGCGAGTGTGTTACAAGACGTCGCGTGACATAATAATAGAATCGGCAAAAAATTAACGATAACAATACTGACTTTCAACGAGGTTCCCGTCGAAACCCGTCCGATGACTGCTGGTGCTGTAAAAACCCTGCCGACATTTGCACACGTACGCGCCCTTCGCCCATCCAGCGCCCACGCCGTTCTCGTTCACACGGCTACCGGGTCCCTGATAGATGCACTAAAAATCAAAAGCGAGCAACGTCACATTGTTTTCTTTCTTTTTTTCTCACCATCATCTACTTAATTCCGAGAACAGCCGCGTTGGGTGCGTTCATATTCAATCACCAAAAGGTGTTGAAGCAATAAACGTCTCGATGATAGTTTTCATCTGTTTCGAATCAGTGTGACAAAATCCTTGTCCGTCGAGAATCTCATCAGATAACACAAAAAGCAAGTCCTTGATGTGCGATATCTTGTTGGCGACGTCTTGTTAGCAATTTTTAAATCAGGAGGGTTTTTATTTTTTTTTAATTTAGGTACTCTACATACGCGACTGTTTTCACGTCCCAAATTAGGACGCGACCGCTTTCGAATTAACATTCGCGAGGTGCTCGACATTCACCTGAGTGGTGTCGGTATGACACTTGTGGGTGCCCTTGAAGAAGGCTATTTCATTGCTCGCAGGAACCTCGACGTCGAGCTCGTCGCTGCGGCCTCGCGACGGCGCGTCGCACTGATTCACCTCCAGCTTGCTTATGTCGATGTCCATGCTGATGAATTCTCGCACCCTTCAACGAGAAGAAACAAACGCGGGCGACTGATTGAATCGAACGAACTCGAGTGTCGCGCATAAAAATGATAAAAACGCGCGTTTTTGTTTTGTTTTGGTTTGTTTTTTTTTTTTTTT